GAGCATTATCGACTGGACGACTCTCAAGAAACTGTTCAGTATCCAGAGGCGGAGCAAGAACAACCAACTCTTGACTATCCGGCTCCGCAGGCTCCAGAGGCTGACTCACTACCCCGTCTACCGATTCTCGAAGACGCTGGAGTTTCAGACCGTTCACGCTCGCGTCAGTGGGATCCAACGAAGTACCCGACCACTCCGAATACACCACCGGTCGGGGATACCTCTGGGGTCAAGCACGACACCTCTCATGAGTCTCCACCAACCAAGAAGGCCAACACAAGATCTACGTCATCGAGCTCAAGATCACGGGGCCCACAGGCATCAGCATCATCTTCGTCAGGGAGCGCTCCTCCTCAACCTCCTACTGATCCATCGCAGCCTTTGCTGCCGATAAAGGAATGCGCTCCCGCTGAAGAATCACCAGCAGACAAAGAAGAAGCCCCGACGCTCGAGTACAGCCAGCCTTCTTGGGACGACACACTACCATCATACCGAGATGATATGGCTCCGCCCTTCTACTTCGACAAGGTAAACGATCGCACGCTCTGCGGGTCATATTTCCAGACACCAGAAGACAGACACGACTTGATGGATGACATGTTTACTGAATACGACGCCGAGATGAAGGAGGCAGGAGCTGCCTTCACAGCCATGGCCTCTCTCTCTGCACAGGACTACTTAGCATCCAGCGGCACCTGGACTGCTACAACGGCAGATGTCACTCTGCCTGGGCCTTGGCAGCGTAGCACCTGCTTCTGGATGGACGTTCGCGTCGGCTCCTGCTTCAGGGTTGATTCTGAGACGGACAATCTGACCCCTGAAGAGATGGTTCGTTTCGAGGCAGACATCCTGAAGGCCGACCGCTCGGAGCTAGCCAATTTCGTGAATCACGACGTATTCAAGACGCGCAAGCTCAGCTACTCGGACACGCTACCCATCAACTGCGTCTGGGTGCGCAAGTGGAAATGGAAGCAGGCAGCCGATGGAAGTTGGACAAGAGTCATCAAGAGTAGGCTCTGCTGCCGCGGCTTCCTGGACCCACAGAAGCATCTACTAGCCAAGCACAGCACTACTGCCACAAGACTCTCTCAGAAGCTCCTCGTCAGTGATGCGGCCAACAGCGACTGGGACATCGAGGAATGGGACGTTGGCAGTGCTTTTCTCCAAGGGTTCAGCTTCGAGCACCTGCATGAAGCGTGTCGGGCACTCAAAGTTCCGATGCCTGACATCAAGAGGAAGGTTGTCATCGTGGTTCCAGACAACGTATGGTTTCATCTCAGAGACCTGAAGTTCCCCGGAGCACCGTCCAGCAACTTTTCCGAGTACGGCCTAGAACTTCTGAAGGCGATGTATGGCCTGAATGACGCCCCGCTTCTCTGGCAACTGTGCCTGAGATATTTTCTGACGAAGTTCACCTCGGCCAGAGTTTCTCTTTATGACGAAAACTTCTACACCTGGCACGATGCTGAGAACACCTTGATCGGAGAGGCTACTTTGCATGTGGACGACGCCAGCGTTGCCGGAACGAATGAGTTCAAGAAGGCACTCTTCATCAAGATGGAGAAACGGTTCGGCAAGCTGACAGTGGTAAAGCCTCCCATGCAGCACGTCGGCATCACCTACGAAAAGATACCAAGAGGCTACAAACTTCACCAGACCGAGTTTGCACTGGCCATCAAGCTCGTGGAGATACCCAAGGGCGCCTCGGATGACACCAAGCTGTCTGCTACTCAGACTACACTACTTCGTGGTGCCGTGGGTGCTCTTCTGTTTCTGTGTTACACACGCGTGGACATCCTCGCTGATGTTGTGGTTTTGCAGCAGCACGTGTGCAGCGCCAAGATCATTCACTTGAAGATGGCAAATACTATCACGAGACGAGCTTGGCAGCATTCACACCTCGGCCTCATATTCACGAAGTTGGAGCCTCCCTATCGCATGGTTGCTGTGGCAGATGCCAGCCATGCGAGCAGCAAGACTTCCTACGCAGTCGAGGGTCAGATGGCGATCAAGATGACGGATCGAATGTACGGTCTCACTACTTCCGGCAAAATCAAGCCCGACTGGAGCAATGGATATGGACACTGCCTCGTACACTCGGCCAAGCGTGCGAAAAGGATTTCGCACAGCACTTCACACGCTGAGTCTCTCAGTCAACACGGATGTTTGACCCACTGCGAGCTGATCGCCATGAGAGCGACAGAGTTGACATGGCCAAGTCGACCTTCGCTCGAGGACCTCATCGAAGCAGACGCCGATGCGTGCTACGACATCCCGATCGACACCATGACAGACTGCAGAGATTTATATGAGCTGTGCACTGGCATGAAGGGAGTTCCTCAGGATCGATCACAAAGACTGATTATTCTATCACTCCGGGAGAAGCGGCTTATCCACAAGGTCAGACACGCTTTCTGGTGCGACACTAAGGACATGCTGGCCAACAGCCTCACCAAGCATTGCACCACCGATGAGATTTTCCACAACTTCCTGGCGACAGGCTACATAGAGTTCAAGCATAGCATGCTGGTCACTATCAAGGCCAAGAAGAAGAATGAGTACACTGAGGGAGACCTGGAGCGTTTAGCCGACGCTGACTGAGCGCCACGTCTCCTCCGAGCCCGGAGTCTCCAGGCAAGGATCTTTTGAGCCTGGGTCACCAGGCCCTCCTCGCCTGAGGAACGGATTTGGATTTAATTCAGTGGTGGCCTACCTCTCCGAGATCGGCTACCTCTTTCTGTGCCCAGCCAGGGCACTGTTGCACTTCGACTACCTTGTCGATCACAATTCGTACTGTTTATTTTTGCGGCTCCCGCCGGCCCTGCTCGACCCTCGCGAGACGTGAGGTACCAGTGTTAGTTTCAGAATGATTGCTGGGGAATCTAGCATGTTTCAGAGAGCAGAATGGAGAACTCAAGAAGTGCAGGGACCGCGGGCGCTGGGGCTCAAGCTTGAAAAGTCGAGGAGGAGGAGGAGGAGGAGGGAGGAGGAGGAGGAGGGAGGAGGAGGAGGAGGAGGAGGAGGAGGAGGAGGAGGAGGAGGAGGAGGAGGAGGAGGAGGAGGAGAGGAGGAGGAGGAGGACGAAGAGGAGGGAGGAGGAGGAGGAGGAGGAGGAGGAGGAGGAGGAGGAGGAGGAGGAGGAGGAGGAGGAGGAGGAGGAGGGGGATGGGGCGGGAGGCTTCCAGGCCTCTCCCGGGGTGCCCCAGCGCGGCGGGGAAAACGTGGCCTGCATATGAGGAGTAGGACGCGACTCCGATGCATCCTCCTTGTTCTCCTAAGCACCGGCGAAAATCTCGGGGGAGAATCCAGGTTCTGACTTTGGTTCGCGCGCGTCGCGGGTCGGCTCGCGGCCGCGGGCCAGTTTTCTGGGCACGGGCGCTCATCCCGGGGGCAGGCGGCCCATCCCATGTCTTTGATTTCTTGAGATCTGGGCGCGCGGTCGCGGCTGGAAACGAGACTGAAAAGACAGAGAAAAAGAGAGAGAGAGAGAGAAAAAGAGTCGTCGGCAGAGTCGTCGGCATCTATAGCATCTGCCATGTCTGTCGTCAGCGAGGTTATCGCGTTCTCTCCCGGAGTAGTTCCGCATGCCGCAGAAGAGTAGGCCGCGTGGCGCAAAGCGGTGGGTTCACGATTCATCCCTATCATAGTATTCATATTGCTCGCGGTTGCAGCGGCTTCCTTCCCTGGCGGCGTCGGGCGGGCCGGGCTCCCGCGACCTGCGGCAGCTATCGATCATGCGCGTGGGTAGGTGGGGCCGTGGCGCCACTTTCTGGAGCGGCCGCGGAAATCAAGGATGGGCGACTTTCAAGCTTGGGTCTGGGCCCGGACTCTGTCCCAAGATATCCCTGCATTAATGTATTGCGTGGTCGAACTTTTGGAGCGCATGGCGCCTGCAATGGTGGCGCGTCTGTCGCACAGGTGGCGCTGGCCGGCTGCGTTGGATATTTTGCAATGGGGCTTGGCTCATGCGAGGTTGTGACGAGGATTGCGAGCGCGACAAACGCCGCGATGGTTCGCCGACATCTGGCGTTTTCCCCCGCGGCTGGTTGGTGTCGAAGTGGCGCAAGGTCATCCGTATCATGGGGGTGCTATGGTCGAATGTTTCATGGATGGTGGTGCAAGGGCCGCTCTCTACATCTTGCTTAACTGCGTGGGCTCGTGCGTTGGAAGAGCAGATGTGCAGCAGCAGAGCAATGGCATCTGTCTTCCGTCTCGTTTGCGTGAACGCTGGGGCTGCATTCCTTTTCCGCGTGCCGATCCGGGGAAAAGTGCGTTGCGCCGAATGCAGCGAAAAATCGTCGGGAGCATGCCGCCCCCCCCATGTTGTTCTACCAGAACGAGCAAGAAGCTCTCGATATTGAAGGTTCTTTGATCAGTTGTGGTGGGCCAAAAATGAACGCACGAGACAACAGTGGTCACCGGCAACGTGTTCGAGCTCTTCGGCCTGATAAAGGCGCGCGTCGGCGCCCGCCGAAGTGCGCCCGTGCTATCAACAAATGGGGTTTGGATGCGGTGAGATCTCCAACATCGCGTGTCTGGGGCCAATTGCATTTCTCCTGTTCGTCGGAGGCGCGACTGCAGCGGCATGAACATGTCAAGCCTAGGTTGTTCGACGGCTTGAGGCTGCCAATTCCGAGCGTGTCCTTCAACGAGATGCATGGGCTGCTGCAGGCGAGGCGGCTGGTGCACGCGGGCTTGATCGGTCCATTGCACTTGTTCGACGCTGCTGGAATGGGTCTGTGCATGGCGTATATCTCAACGGGAAAATCACAAGTATGGTATCCGAGTTCTTGGGGTGAGGATTGAATTGCTGCTCGCTTTCATGAGTCAGCGTCGCGGGTTCCACGTCTCTTCACGCCAGAGCTGGGCGAATGCGAGCGAGGGGGACCTTGGGCGTTGCATTGAGGAGGTTTCACTTTCCGCCGAGCAGGCTCGCCCCGATCCAGATCGATCCCTCAATTCGCATCTGTGCCCGAGTTTCGTAGAGTTGTCTTCGAAGCCTTGAAAAGGGTCCGGCGTTCGAGCGTGAGGGCCGGGCCGATGGGCAACTTGACCTTTGCAGTCGTGAGGCGCGAAACTTGCAGAGATTCCATCAACGCGGGCAACTTTTCCGTTCCTTTCGCAGGGCAGAATTCCAGGAATCCTCTGGAAAGGAACTAGGGCGACCAGGCAATCTTGCTTCGCTTCGAGCGGGCGTCGGGCCGTGGCGCTTGTCGAAGTGGCCAGTGCGCCGTGACTTAGGAAAATCGCTCGCAATAATGTGGGGCCAGTGGTCGCGCGAGCATTTGTTGCGTCCGCGCGTTCGTAAGTCTGCGAGACAAGGGGCGATGCAATTCTCCCGTTTGCTTTCGTTTCCGGCCTGCCCAGAGCCGTGGCGCGTGGCTGAAGAAACCGCGCGGGAGGTCGTGAGCACGTTCCCTCTCTTTTTTTGATGCAGGACGACCGTGAGAGCGACAAAGTTTTTGGGGGCCTCCCCGGAGAGCTCGAGGCGGGCGTCCTTCGGGGGATTGTTGCAGACCCCGCCAGGGCCGTAGATGTAAAAGCAGTGCCATCAGACCTGCAAGCGCTAGGATATGCTCGTGATTTCCCAGGCCCCCCCTCTTCTCTCCGCCCTCCTCGCCCCTCCCGCTCGCCCACTTCCCCTCCCCTCCTTTGGCCCTTCATCAGGAGTAAGTGCTACAGCAGTGACGGAGGGCGCGTATGTACAGAACCAGGGCATGCCTGTGTGCGGTTTTAGACTGTAGTCGAACTCCGTTTCGGGCCCGTTGGCGCGTCCTTGGACGGGTGATACGCGGTGCGATCGGAGTGCTAGGGGGCCGCGGCTGCGCGTGTTGCTACCACGGCGAACGAGGATATCTTAATCAGAAAAAGCTTGCGGCATGCCACGCGAGTCCCGAACGGTCTCTTCTCCGCGGCTTGGTGGAAGCTGGGCATGGGGGATCTGGAAGAAGGATTGCGAGCAGCCTCTCTTGCTGGCACCTTCTGCGCCATGGGGGACTTTGTGCTGCGATTGAGTAGGCTGACCATCGGAGGTGCGATATCGTCTGCGGCTATGTCTGTGCGTCTCGCCGCAGATGAGGGGGTCGGTCCTTGGGCGCCCGCGATGCACGATCGCTTCCAGAAACTATGGTTTCGTTTGCAGTCTCCTCGGGAATTTGATTGGTTGAGGTACGTGGATGACGTGTTGGCGGGGAGTTATGCGTATTGTGGGACCTGTCTTGGGGTATTCTTCCAAAGCTTGTATCCCGAAACGACCCCAGAGGCTGAGGTATTCAACAGCGACACATCTCATGACCAACTGTGTGTTTGGGTGACGCTGGAGATGGAGATTCATCGGCAGCATAATCGTGTGTGGTGGGCACTGAAGAAATTTAACAGGGCTAGGATATATTGAGAGGGTCCTCAAAGGGGGCCAACGCAGTTTTGCCATGGTTGGGGGCTTTGCCAGCAGGTTTCAGCCATATTCGTGGGGCGCTCTTGGGCAGATTGGCAATGGCCCAAGATGCTTTGCTCACTGTGGAAGCCCAAACTCTAATTGTTCTGGCATGTGACGTGATGCGATTGTGCTATCCTCTTCCGATCGTGCGGAAAGTGGTTCATTCTATCCCATCCGTGCATCCTGCAGCAGTGCAGGCTTGTGGTCATTCGGGCGTTCATCCGGATGAAGCGCTTGTACCCGCACGGCGGTTCCCGCGGGGGCCAATGGTTCCAGCGGCCAGGCGGCCCTGATCAGCGTGATGGAGGTGGCGGTTCTCGTCGCTGCCGCAACTCCCGCTCAAGGAGTTCCTCGTCGGCGGATGCACGCACGGCGCGCAGGGTTGAGGAAGTCAAGAAAACCCTCGAGAAGCACGACCCGGCGTTCGCCAAGTACACGAAGGCGCAGGTTGACAAGGAGGCCGAAGAGGCTTATGCACGTCAGGGGAGATTGATCGCAAACGCAGTGCGGGCGACAGGAGTCGTGTGTCTGGCCGCCGCCCAGCTCCGTGGGCCGCCTGGGGCAGGGGCGGCCGGGTCTGCGCAGCCCTTCTCCCCGTCGCCTCTGGCGGCCTAGCCGGACGGTGGTGGCTTCACGCCGCAGCAGCTCGAGCAGATCAAAGAATTTATCCAGGCGGCATTGCCGCCTCAGGCGGTTGGGGGCCAACCAGGAGACTCCGGCTTATCGGAGAAGCAGCGCGAGGGCATCATGAAGGTCTTCAACAACAAGATCGTGTGCACCGACAAGGACACGTTTCGCACGGGGATCGTTGCGCAATCGAAGGTGAAGTTGTTCCAGTAGAGTTCCAACAAGTTTGTGAAGGAGCAGGGCGGGGAAGAACCACTGCCGTATTTGGCCAAAGCAAAGACGGACTTCATCTTGGACCTGTTCGACCAACATTGAGATGATAATGCCGCTGTATGTATCGTTCTTTCCAAGGGCGCCCTTCTGGCACATAACGAGAGTGCGTCGTGGTTTATTTTATTGGTGTGGCGTGACGTATGTGGCTTTTATACTGGTGACCATTTGGGGGATTACATTGGCACTGGTGTGGCCGTCTAATCAACGTCAACGTCGCAGATCACTTTGTCAACCTTACCGTTACTCAGCTTCGGGATCTTGCTCAGAATGTGTTGGTGGGGCTGATAATCCGGGAGGTTCAAAACACAGTCGGCGGCGCTCTCGAGTTGTTCGTGGGGAACAAAATTTGACATATAGGCGCCAATATCTGTTGGGGTTGACTCATTGCGATCCAGCTGTAGCTTCGGGCAAGCTTTCTGGACGTGTGATTGCTGTTAAGGCTTTGAGGGCTCTGACGGTCCGGAGTGTCTCGGACAGGCGCGAAGTAACCAGAGTCTTTGAATCAGACTGGGTCCCAGTCTGGGGTCTTGGAGAGCTCGGGGGGGCCCGCCTAGACCCAACCACCCTCTCGAGCGCTTCGGCTTTTTTCTCTCATCACCCGGGTTTTCAATGCCAGGGGGTAGTCAAGCTCTGCCGGAGGCTTCCAGGCCTCTGCCGGGGTGCCCCAATGTGGGAAAAACGTGACCGACGTATGAGGAATACAGCGCGTCTCAAATGCAACCTCCTTGTTCTCCGAAGCACTGGCGAAAATCTCGGGGGAGAGTCAGGGTCTGAATTTGGCTCGCGCGCGTCGCACGTCGGCTCAAGGCCGCGGGCCAGTTTTCTGGGCATGGACGCTAATTCAGGGGACAGGCGGTCCATCGCATGTCATTGATTCCTTGAGATCTGGGCGTGCGGTCGCGGCTGGAAGCGAGACTGAAAAGACAAAGAGCGTCATCAGCAGAGTTGTCAGCATCTATGGCATCTGGAAGGTCTGTCGTCAGCGAGATTAGCACGTTCTCTCTCAGAGTAGTTTCGCATACCGCAGTGGAGGAGGAGTAGGAGGACTGGACGGAGCCCACAATGCACTAATCAAACCTATCACCCAAAGCAAAAAGGGTTGGACAAACACAAACTGTGGATCTGCGCTCCCGAGACCATGACTCCTCGTAAGAAGCAGTAGATAGGCCCGCGCTTCCTGGGCCGCGGTCCTTTGTAACACTCTTTGTATCCGCGCTCCCGAGGCCACGATCCCCAGCAAAACAAACTGTAGATCCAAACCTCCAGGCTGTGATCCCGCGCTCCCGAGGTCACGATCCCGTAGAATAAACAGTGGACCCGCACTCCTGCGGCCACGATCTTTCGTGAAAACTGTGGATCCGTGTTCCCGAGGCCACGATTCCATGTAAAAAACTGTGGATATGCGATCCTGAGAACTCGCCAGCCACTCTGCCAGCCTTCCAAGCCCATCAGCAAGCCTGCCAACTAAAAGTGAGCAAACCGTCCATCAAGTTCTGTCGGCCAATCAACTGAGTTGCCAATGTGCCAACCGATCAACCAATCAATCAACCGACCCAACTGACCCAGCCTACGCGAGCGATCAGAGGGGGGAGGAGGGGGAGAGTATGACTCCCTTCAGTATCAACACCCGCGCTTCGAAACGACATAATGTTCTGAAGCCAAACCAACCACAACACGTTCGGCCACGATATAGCCAAGCAGCTCACTGAAAGTTAATTACTTCGCATGGGCTGAAGCGAAGAACATGCATGAGCGTTTCCGAGGTCTCCTCAACACCTGCGCCGCCCACATGTCCAGGAACCGCGCCCTCGCCGCCACCTCCCACGCGGTCCCTGGCTCTGGAGAATTCAGCTGCGGCCGCTGCCTTTCGCACGCGCTGTGTGCCGGGTGGTGCGCGCACAACGCGGCCTGGAAACGCAACCTCGCGGCAGGGGACGGCGCGCCCTCGAAAAAGACCCGCGTGGAACCCTCCATGAAATACCGCGATGCCTTTGAGGAAACCAAAGGTGCCCGTACCGCTGCACCCCAGACCTGTACTGGGGTGCGTTCGCACCAGAGATTCGAGGCGAGTCCAGCCGTGGCGGCGAGGGCCTCCCAGGAGGCCCTCCCAAGGGGAAAACAAGGTAAGGGTAGCGGTATCGGTCCTCCTTTGAGCCTTTGTGTGGGGGGCGCCCACGGCGACCGCCGCGTGGGTGTAGCGCTGCAGCTCGCGCTGCAGCCGCTGGATCGCCGCTGGGACCCCTGTGGCCCGCAACAAGAGCAAGTCCGAGTCTGGCTCCTCCTCCAGGTGGACCACTGCGCCGGACACCGCGTGCAGGTGCGCCTCGTGGAACGCGCAGTGCCCATGGATGCGGAAGGAGAGCGACCTCGACAGCCGGCGCGTGATGGAGGCCGCTTTGTCGGCCGCACTCGTGGCCAGCGTGGCCTCCCAGCTGCGCGTGGCGGACAGCACCTCCCCCGCCTGCCTCGCGAGGCCCGCGACGGCAGAGACGACCCTGGCAGGCAAGGTGTGCTGAGGCCTGCCTTCCACTGGCCACGTGAGCGTGAGGTCGCCAGAGGCGGCGGCAGCCGCGCCGAGGAGCCCGAGGAGCAGGCGTCCGACCTCGCCGAGGCGCCCCGGGCGGAGCCCTGCCACGCCGTCCGCCAGCCGCTGCAGAGCGCCCTCCAGCGCGTCCGCGGACGCGTCCTCGGCTCCGGCCGCCGCGCCGGCGGGCGCCGCGCCAGTTGCCCGCGCCCGCGCCTGCCCGCCGTCGACGACGGCCTGGCACAGGTGCACAAGCAGCGCGTACCACTCCCCGGGCACCATCGCCGCCTGCAGCGGAGCGCCCGAGCCCGCCGCGGCCGGCGCCTCCGCCTGCTGGCTCCGCACCAGGCCGACCCCGCGCGCCCACGAGGTCATGAGCAGGGCGGCCGCGAAGGCCGCCGGGCCCAGCCTCGCGTAGAGGGCGGCGCGGAAGTGCCGCGCCTTCCCGAGGCCATCCTGGCTCAGGACGACGTCCACGCGAACTTGCTCCTCGGCGTCGATAACGCCCGGAAGGACCAATCTCAGCACGGGGACAGGGGCCTGCAGCGCCTCCCGCTTGGCGTGCGCGACGGAGTCGAGTGCTGGAGAGACGACTGTCTGGAGGAAATGACGCTGGCGAGCAGCTGCGTCGAGCGAATCGAACTGCGAAGCGATCGCCGCGGGTACGAACGGCGGGAGGTATGCGCTGGGGCATGGCGTGATGCATATATCTAAGTCGGACTCGGGCTCGCAGAGGAAAATCGAAGTGGAGCCGAACGCCCGAGCCTCGAACACCTGCTCGGCAGCAGCCCCACCGAGCAGGCTGGCACAGTAGGCGTTCAGAGCGCTCTGCACCGTCTCCAGCACCGCCAGCTTACTGCGCACCATGCTCTCCACCTCGGGGAGCGACAACTGCACGTGTCTCAAGGCGCTCTCGCCCACTAGCTCGTGCACGCGGTCGCAGGCCGGGCCGCTGGCGGGGCTGGCGAGGCCCGCTTTGATCTGGCAGAGAACATCGCCCACGACCCATGCGAAGCAGCGGCAGCTGCGGCCGCCTGGCGCGGGCCGGTACGCCGCCTCGTAGCACGCCGAGGCTTTCGGGCAATAGTCTGGCTCCCGCAGCCCTTCGAAGAATGCCTCGCGGTGTTTTTGCAGCAGCAGCGAAAAGTGTGCTCGGATGCGGTGCGAGGCCTTACCCCTGTCCGCTGCTGTGGGGTGCCATCGCAAGGGAGTTGCCAATATCGCCTCGGTCTCGTGCCTGAGGCCGTGTGATACCATAAGCCGTCTTAATTCCAACTCGAACATGCTGCACGCCTGGGCAGCCTTCTCGCGCCAGGCAAGGCGCTCAGGAAGCAACAACGCCTCGTCCACATCGAATGCAGCCGCTGTCTCGTAATCGGTGTCAAGGGACACGCAGCGGCGAAACAGCAGACCCAACACCTTCTCAGAGGTGTAAGTCTGGCTGAAGGGCTTCTGCATGAAGTCAGGGTAGCCCTGCTTCGACACTTCTTTGAGCGCGTCCTCTGGTACCTCTGGCGGCACTCCGGTCTTTGGGAAATCGACTGCCAACGACTGCGACTTGGCCAACTCGATGGCCAGCGGATCCATCGCACCGCGCGGCAGCATGTCGCTGAGCGCTAGGTGCGTATGGGCGATCCTGCCGAGGGTGTCGTTGACGACCACGCGGCAGAAGAAGTGCACGAGATCCTTGTCTTCCCACTGGCTGCTCTCCGCCGTGCTCCCGACAGCCGCCCCCGCCTCGGCAAGGATGGCGTCGTAGTCGAGCGCAGGGTGCGTCGCTGCTGATGGCGGCACCAAGTCCGCAGCCCAAATGACGGAGAACATGTCCCCGTCCAGATCGCCACCGCTGCAGCAGGCGGCGACAGACCTCCGACCAACCACCGGCAAGACCAGCACGTTCTTCAGGGAGCGCAGCTCTGGCCGGTCGACGGCGCGCAGCCTCTGGAGGTCCCCCGGGTGCAAGCACGGGTTGCGGTGCACCAGCAGGTCGCCGGTGACGAGCTTCCTGGCCGTCCCGGCCCCGTCGGGTTGGCGAGGATCGCGGACTGGATACTCCACCTGTGCGACGGAAAGACGGGGCCTTTTGCGCGATGGCATAGCGACCTCACGCCGCGGCTTACGCGGGCCGCCATCGTTGCAGTGGCCCTGGGACACACAAATAAATACACACACATAAGAATATTCCCCATATTTTCTCATATTTTCTTGGTTTTTGTCTTCCCCCCCACTTCCCATATTTTCCCATATTTTCGTGGGAATCGACGATTAATTGTGTCTGTGTGTTTCTTTCCCTCCTGAATCGTGGCACACCGCGTGGAAAGAGGGCGCCTACGCGCGGCCTCACGCGGGGAGCTCACGCGCACACGTCGTCGCAGTCGATCCCGTTGCCCCTTGAGGAGGAGGAGGAGGAGGAGGAGGAGGAGGAGGAGGAGGAGGAGGAGGAACCTGGACGAACGCCTCCCCGTCTCTGAGCACGCCGCAGGGGTCCGGCACCCCGAGGAGCAGTGCAGCGTCGCTGTGCGGGAGGGGGATGCGCGCCTTCGTGGCCAGGTCTCGCACGCGCAGCCGGTAGATCCTGCTCAGCATCGACAGCCAGAAGGGCTCCACGAGGATGCTCATGCGGGCCTGGGCCTCGCGCACCAGGGCGCGCCACTCCAGAGGCACGGCGTCGGCCAGCTCGGCCGCGGCGCGCTCCTCGTCCACAAACATGCCGGCGGCGTCCCGCAGCGCCGCCTCCTGGCGCTCGATGGCCGCCGCCTCTGGGTCCCAGCAGTTCGAGGCATCCCAGCCGCTTAGAGCGTGCTTCAGGCTCGTGAGGAGTGTGATGACCTCTCGGTTCAGGTGGGCGGTGCGGTGCGCGGAGCAGCTCACGACGCAGAACCCGTGGTCGTCGCACTCGAACTTGTGCATGGACGGTCGGTGGACGAGGCGGCACGCCCTGCCGAGCCCTGCCCGTGCAGCGCACAGCTCCCAATCATCATCACCGACCGTGAGCACGACGCCCTTCATGCCAGCCCACCTGAACTGCATGGCGCAGGGGGCCTCCGCCAGTCCCAGAGCATCCTTCACCTGCTCAGCGAATAAGCGAGACGCTTTGCCCGCTCCATCGGTCAGCAAAGCGCCATCCTCTGCCCGCGCGTCGTCCATTCGGTACGTGTCGCACGGATCCAGGTCGACTGCCGGGGTGTCAGCCGTCATGTACAGGCCCAACCTCGCCATGTACTTCGCAATGGAGCGGAAAGCATTGCGATCGCGGACAATGTCGTCGCGCAGCGTCCAAACTTCTCCGAGTGGACGCGGGGGCCTCGGGCATGCGTTTTCGACAGCGACGAACATGGCGGAATGTGCGCGAAGCTGCGATGCCGAACTTCCGAAATAGTGGAACCTCGTGCCGCCAACTGTGAATCCCTGGGTGAGCACACTCTCTAGGTTTGTAAGTGTCTCGGTGCCGCGCAGGCTCTGGAGCTGCTCTTCCAGAAAGTGTACAGAGACGAACTCCAGGTGCTGGAAGCGGCGCAGCAGGCGCGAGGTCTGTACTGGCACGGCGGGGAGCAGAACGACGCGCGAAGGGGTCACCACGACCCGCTTGAGCAAGACCTGGTTGGGCCCTGGGGTGAGCTGGAACCGCCGCAGGCGCCCCGACGACACCTTCCTGAAGCTGCCCAGCGCGGCGTTGAAGGCCTCAGAGGCGCTGGGCCAGGACCTCCCCTCGCACGCCTCGGCCGCTGCGTAGACGGCCGCGGTGGCGGCGGTGACGGACTCCTCCCAGCCAAGCAGCGGGTTCAAACTCCCCATGCGGTCGTCTGCGAGCTCGCAGCACGTCTGGGCGATGGCGTCCAGGCACTCCGAGGAGAGCGCAGGGCAGGTGGTCGCCAGAACCCCCAGCGCCCAGTGGCACTCCCTCACGCCTGGCTGGTCGGCGTTGAGGCAGTCCAGGCGCTCCTCGAGAGAGAAGCCGCGCTGCCTCGGCCTCGTGACCTCGGCCACGCGAGCGTCGAAGATTGGCGCGGGCATGGCCTCGGCCTCGCTGAGCAGAGCGCGCAGCTCCAGAACCTGGCGCTGCTCCAGCGGCAGCCTCACGGCCAGCGCGAAGTCCGCCGCCAGCGCGGCCAGCAGGGGGTGGTCGCCCAAGCCACAGATCCTCTCCTCATGCAGAAGCTCACCTCGCATGAAAGCGACGCCAACCACTGGCACCGAAAGCAGCTGGAGGTAGAGGGTAACCGCGTCCACCCGGTCCCAGCTTAGAAGGCCGAAACCAGCCAGGGTGCGGAGGTCGACCCGGATGAAGATGTGCTGGACCTGCGCGCCGACCTGCGCGCCGAAGAGACCCAGAGCGCCCCTATCCAGAGTGTTCCACACGTCTGGCACGCAGATCTCCACGTGATGCCTCGAAGAGAATGCTATCGAGGCAGTCGCCACAATACCATCCGTGGCCTCAAATCTGGCGCAGAACGTCCGGCGATCCTCGAAGCGCCCAATGGCTACCCGGTCCACTGGCCAGCTGGACTGGACGCTACGTCCAGACCGCATCTCGCCATCAACTAGCTGTGCCCACGTCGTCACGGGCGGTGACGCCGTGCTGCCGAAGTCCCAGCCGCGGCAGAGGGCCTGGTAGCAGGCGGCGGCGCTCTGGCCCGAACCTCCCACGGTGTCGCCTTTGAGCTTGACGAGCACCACCGCGTCGTCCCGCCCGAAGGCAGAGGCGGTGGCAGTCGACACCGCGGCCGCCTGCGGAACTGCCTCGATCCGCTGCACCCCAAGCCCCAGCGCCGCGGCCTCCAGCGAGTTCAGGATGGCTTCCTTGAGCTTCTCCTCGCTGCGGCCGTTCGCGAAGCAGACCAGCTTCACCACCAGCCGTGGCTTCTGCTGTTCCGCCGCCTCGCGCGTGGAACGCTCCCCAGTGGCGGGCGCGCCTGGCTGACCCGTGCTGGAGCGCCGGCCGAGCTCCCGGATGCGCTCCTGCGTCCTCGCACAAGGCACCCGGTCTTGGGCTGCCCGCTGCTCCAAGACGCAGTTCATGAGGCGCTCGCGGTCTTCCATCTCCAACACGCGAGTGCGCATCGCGCTCGGGAGCACGACCACCAATCGGCTGTGCTGCTTGCGAGCGCGGCCGCGGCTCTGCACGAGGGAAATCAGGGACCCAACGCCCTGAAACCGTACTACCAGGTCGCAGGCAGCCACATCGAGGCCCTCTTCAAGTACGGATGTGCAGACCAGCAGCCGTGTCTCGCCTTCTGCAAATGCCGCCAGTGCTGCATCCTGGCCGCCGAACCAATCCATTCCATCTGCACCCCCATGGCCGACGACGATATCAGGGCTGAACCTGCCAGCTACACTGGGCTCCGCTCGAAGCAGATCGCACAAGCGGCGTGCAGTCGCGCGCGTGTCCACGAAGACCAGCACGCGGCTTGCCGCGGGCGCCCTGCCCAGCAAGGCTAGGAGGTGCAACACCTGGGGCGACTTCGCCGCCGACGGAGGAGCTTCGAGCAAGCTGCGCACCCACGGCAAGCCGTCCACCGGTGCGTCTGACAACACCTTGTGTGCATCTGCTGGGCCGATGACCAGGCAAACTTCCACGGAGGCTGCCGCAAGGTGCAGTGCGAGCAGGCCGTGCTGGACCACAGCAGGGCCACCCCCGCACAGTCGAAACTCGTCTTGTGCAGCCCGCAGCATGCCACGTAGCCGGCCCAGGGCGCCTGGGTCCTGCAGCAACAACTCCTTGGTCAACCAACTGGTCCCGACCAGATCGGTTCCCCCGGTCTCGTTCAGCGCAGCCGCGCCCTGATGAATGCCTTCGACGAGCCTCTGGAGCATAACATGCTGCTCGCGACTGGGATCTATCACCGCCCATTCGGTGGTCTGCGCCGCAGGTGGCATTGGCGGCTTGAAGAGCACAGCGCCGTCAAATCGGTCCTGCAGCAGCTGCAGCCGGTCCCCAGCCTGTTTCGTCGTCTGGGCAGAACACGGAGAGGCTGTCAAGCCGACCAATCTCGGGCGCCGCGACCGCGGCACTGCACGGATCGCCTCAAGCAGGCCTGCGTAGCAATGCTCCCCAGTTGCGTGGTGCGCCTCGTCGAATACTACGACGGAGAAGACCTCAAGCGATAGCTCGCTCCTTCGCAGCATCTCGCGCAGGGAGCCTCCTGTGACCACTAAGAGATCAAAAGCGCCATCATTGAGTTCGTGGATAGTTGCTTTGGTCCTGTTCTCGCTGCACAGCTTGCACACACGCAGGCCAGTCTCGGCAGCAATCGCAACAGCCTGCTGAAAGACGAGCGGAATGCGGTCCACCACGAACAAGCCCATGTGGTCACGATTCAGCCGCCGCATGCGCGCCAGAATCATCGATGCTACAAGGGTCTTCCCGCCACCAGTCGGGATCACCACGATGACGTTCCGCGAAAGCGCCTCGACGAACGCCTCGATCTGGTAGGAGCGCGGCTCTGCCAGAGTGAGGCCGTCCCACGCGAAGTCTTCGAGGGAGGCCGGCTGCACTGGAATCGGCCGTGCAGGTCTGCCGCTGCCCATCCCGTCGGCGCCGGAGGAGGCGGCCTGCGGCGGCTCGGGCCTGCCTAAGAAGCCGTCGTCCGACCTCCGTTCGATGCTGCGGAAGGGCGCGTCGAGACGGACCTCGGACCACTTCCTCTTCCGCGGGAGCGGCGAGCCCAGCAGCACCACGCTGCTCAGCGCGAAGGCGACGAAGAGGGCACCACCAGGCCCGAAGGGAACCTCCTCTCGGGGGACCACTACCTGCATGTGCCGACCTTGGCCAGGCCCATCTTCGGTCCCCAGAGCTAGCCTGGCCTGGGTGGGTGTGCATACACCCTGCGAAATGCTTAAGAAATCATGGGTTAAGAAATTCATAGTCTCAGAACTTGAATAAAAACCCAACATCTCTATTAAAATCTTAGGATTTACGTTGAAACATTAAGAATAATCGAGACTCTGGCCGAAAACTTGGGTTTTCTTAAGCATCGCCTAAGGTGTAGAGGCTCGGGCTCCCTGGACCTCTGAGAGTCTGCGGACCCCCCCTGGAAAAACATCCAAAGACATCCGAAAGGTAGTTGGAGGGCGGACCTTGTGCGGATGACTGACCTAGTGGTACGGGCGGCGGATTCCGCTGCCCTCCGGGCCGTCTCTGCCCGGGGTCGCCCCCCTGGGATGACCTGGCTTTCTCAACTCTTCTTGGCGGTTGCCCCTTCTTGGAGGTGGTGCCACCGTGCGGTCGCCCTGGTGGATGTCCCAAGCAAGGCACCCGAAAGCCACCCGCTAGAGTGTGGACTCCCTCAGGAACCTACGAAATCAGCCGAACCTATCGGAGAACCTCCAAATCCAAAAACTTCGATGCCATTGGCCCAAACATGCGGCGTTTTGTCTTTTCACAACGTGGGTCCCCGGAAGCCACGACCCCTTCCTTCCCCAGGGCCATTTTTTCATGCCGGATCGTTCTTTGACGGCCCGCGGTGCCCGGCGAGGGCTCTCAGAGGCCGAGAATCGTTTTCTTTTTCGCGACGCGAGCATGGCGCGACGCGACTCGTTCTTGTCGCGACGCGAGGATGACTGGGCATGGACAACGGACTCGTCGGCCCCCGGTCTTTGATCGAGGGCTGGGGCTGAGATGTGGCAGGGAAGAGCTCGAGGGACGAGGCTCGAGGGTCGATGGTCGAGGATCGATGGTCCAGGACCGAGGGTTGTGTTTTTCTAAGACGGGGCCCAAGGACACACAAGCAAATAGACACAAACCCCAGGACTCCCGATACCTTCTGGGCTTCTGTCGTCCCCCCTACTTCCCATATTTTCCCATGACTTCCTTGGGAGTCAGCGACTCCTTGTGTCTGTGTGCTTCTTCCCCCCTGCCTCCCCAGACCCCCGACGCCATGACTCTTCCATCACGTCGACCCCTGGAAGTCTCGACCCGCCCACCTGGACCGGCGTCTCATCCCGAGTCGTTTGTTTCTTGACGGTCTTTCCTCTGCGAGCTCCTCGGCACCGCCTGCACCCCGGCCCGCCCTCCGGCCGCCTGAGGCCCCGCCCGCCTGTGCCCTGTCTCCCCAATTAGAGCTGTGCGTAGCCCGCCTAGCTTTCATCGGAAGAGGCTCGCCCTCGCCCCGCAGACCAAACATTGTTTCTTGACGGCCCCGAGGGCCGGCAGAAAGGCCCCCCGAGGCCGAAAACGGCCGACGGCCTCCCGTCATGATCTCCTCGTTGCCCCACCGGGGGACTCTCTGTGCCTCCCGTGCGGATAGAGCGGTCCCAAGACGTAGTAGCCTCCAAGCCCTCGAAACATAGTATACCCGACGTCCCAACAAGAGGCTCCAGGATAGCATGCGTGAGCCTAGGGTGGACTTTGAGGGCCTCCAGAGCACGCGCCACAACTTGGATCGTAATATTGTCGAAAGCCTTTTTGATATCGGCCTGGGGGGGGCCGTCGAGCTCGGCCGGAAGCCCTGCCACCGCTTCTCCGCCGGCCTGCCGCCGCCGAGACCCTCCGCCCGCCGTGGCTGCTCCTCCACCCGCTGCCACGGGGCTTCGTCCGCCGGGGGGCGGGGAAGGCCGACTTCTCGGCTCGGGGGGGCCTGGCATGCAGTCAAAGATAGGATGGAAGGAGAACTGTCGATCAGGACAGCTGGGCCAGCTTTTCAGAAGTTTCTGGAGGAAACGCTGGGCCAGCTTTTGGAGCCAGGGACGTACACTATTCATTTCCAGGGTCCAAGGCTACCAATCCCCTTGGGAAGCTGAGCCAGCTTTCCGGCAAGTTGGTTAAGAAACGCTGGGCCAGCTTTTCGGGGGGAGGTTTCTTAATCGTAAGCGGGAGCGTAGGGGGGGTGCATCCACCTGGAATCGGGGATGCATCGCCGATTGATCGGCGAGAGGCCTCCGAGAATGAATCCACACCTTCCTGGGCGGGTTTGGGCTATTGGGCCCCTATCGGCAATCCATGGGCGATTGGGGGTCGATGCAGCCCCCCCCGTGCCTATCCCCCCCTTTTCGTTGCCGCTGATGGGCGCAGGAGGCCAGATTCTGAAGCGCTTGGCCCTAGGCCTCCTCGAGTCATGGGCAGACAATTTTTCGCCGTTTTTTTCGGCCTCTGGAAGCCCTGGCCGGGCCTCGGGGCTGTCAAAAAACGACTCAGGATGGAAAGCTGGTCCTGGGGAATGGGTCGAGACCTCTGGAGGTCGGCGTCATGAAAAAATCATGACGTCGGGGTCTGGGCCTGGATGGTTCGACGATGTCACGCGGAGCGTGTGCTGGCGACAACGTGTGTTTGTCCGCTGGGGCCCCTTAACATGACGCAGGCGGCACAGCGAGTGCCGACACAGGCTGCGCGCTGTCGGCGCACCCGAGCAGGTTAACACGCACGCTCGGGCCAACACTTTTTCCGTGGGCGGCGAGGAGGAGGAGGAGGAGGAGGAGGAGGAGGAGGAGGAGGAGGAGGAGGAGGAGGGAGGAGGAGGAGGAGGAGGAGGAGGGAGGAGGAGGAGGAGGAGAGGAGGAGGAGGAGGAGGAGGAGGAGGAGGAGGAGGAGGAGGAGGAGGAGGAGGAGGAGGAGGAGGAGGAGGAGGAGGAGGAGGAGGAGGAGGAGAGGAGGAGTTGGCTGCATCAGCGCAGGCACTAGACGGGGGCATCGAGACGCGGATTGGCCAGCGTGCAAGAACATGGGCATCGGGGAGGCGGGCGGCCGAAGGGGGGGGGGGAAAGAAGAGGCCACACGCTTGTGCTACACACGCGTCCTGCGGATCATCGAGTGTCGTGCTGCTTCTGCCAGCCTCCACGGGCCTTCCGCCGAAATCGAAGGGCCAACTTACTTCTCGGCTCGCTGGCGCAGAGGGCCAAATTTAAAGGGGCCCAGGGACACACACATAGATAAACGCAGATCCCAGATTTCTCAATATTTTCAATTCTTTTCTAGGTGTTCCTCTTGCCCCCCCCCACTCTCCATAGCTCCAATTTTTCCACGAGGGTCGCCGATTAATTGAGTCTGTTTCCCCCCCCCGCTCCTTCATTCCTTACGCCTTTGCCTTCGGCACCACAGACCTGGCCGAAAAGGAGAACACCAATTCCATCCCCAACAAGGCAGCTCAGGCCAGCGTCGCCCTCGGGTACGAGCTCCGCGACCCCGACGGGGGCGCGACCGACCCGCTCGTGGCCCCAGTGCCCACGGATGACGAGGTCGAGCAATGTCCAGGCCACGTGATCCAACGCGTATTACCTGGCCCCACTGTCGAGCACATCGAGGCTACTGCCACCAGACACAAGCTCAACCCCAGCCAGACGCGCGTCCTCCTCAACTCCCTGTCCTCGATCGTGCTGCTCATGTGCGGCCCTACGGGGACCGGGAAACCAGGACCATTGCGGCGCTCCCCGACGTCTGGCTCCCCACGGTCCCACACGGAGTTGCGATAGGCTTGTTCTCGGGGTCAAACCATGGAGCCGGCATGCCAGCCGCCTACCTGGCCGGCGCCGCGCGCCAAGGACAGCTGAACCCGGCCTCTGGTTTCCCCGAAGCTGCAATCCGCCTCGGGCGCGATGACCGCACCACCAGCGACGACGCCCGTGCACTCGCCCTGGCCGCCCGGTGCGAGTAGCAGTACCGCGTGCACCCGCACAACAGCGTGCCCCCTGTGACCCAGAAGGCCTGGTCCATCTTCCGCAGGGGGCACCTGGATCCGCCAAGTTGCTTCTTGGCACCCACGAGCTCGCTGCAGACCTCACGGCGGACTGCTGCCCGAATCTCTCCATGGTGGTGCTGGACGAGGCTGGCCAGTCCACTGAAGCCCTGGCAATCATGTCCATCGCCCTCGCGGTGCGGACTGGGGGCCGCCTCGTGGTCTGCGGGGACTAGAACCAGCTCCCGTCCATGGTTTTCTCCCAGCGCGCCGAGGCCATGGGCGCGGGCCTGTCGGTGCTCAGTAGGCTCCACGCCTCACTCGGCCCCTGCGACCACTACAGCGTGCTCCTGGACAGATGCTACCGGATGCGCCCGTCCATTCTGCAGTGGGCCTCGTACTGCTTCTACGACGGGCTGCTCCTGGGAGGGCTGACAGACCCGGCCAGGCACCTGATTCACGGCGCAGGCCTCAACTGGCGCCTGGCCACCCCGCTGTCTCCCCCCAGGACTTAGCAGGGCTGCGCCGCCCGCGGATGCCCGACCGACAGCCCGGCCATTGGCGCTGGCAAGTGGCGCAACCCCGTCCACGGCTCGCAGCGTGGCGACCACCTGCGGGTACTGCTCGTCCACTCTGACTTCGCCGAAGTCTCCTGCAACCGCGTGGAAGGCGCAGCGAACATCGGGGAAGCCGCAGTGGTGTGCAACCTGGTTGCCGCAGCTGCCCCTGACCTCATGGCTCGCGACAAGAAAGTCCTCGCCATCATAGGATACCGTGCCAGAATGGTGGCGCTACGCCACGGCCGCCCGTTCCGTCCGGGCGCCTTCCTCGAGGCGTATCACGGCCGGCGCAAGGGCAAGTCAACTGGCAAAAGGTCAACGCCCTCCAGCACTCCTCGCGGGGGCAAAGGCGGCTCCCCAGCCTCTGGCGAGTCCATCTACCGCCAGCGACCGACTCCGCAGGACGGACTCCTGCTCGCCTTCCCCGGGCGCGAAGCGCGGTGCCCAAATCTTTTCGCCGAGAACCTCATCGCCATCAGCGCCGTCGACGGATGTGAGGGTGGCGAGGCAGCGCTGTTCATCTTCTGCACCGCCCGTGCGAACCCGGCCAACGAGTGGGGGTTCATGGGGGGCGCCCGACGCATCCTCGTTGCGATGCCAAGAGCCCAAGAAGGCCTCATCGTCGTCATGGGCGGCAAGATGTGCAAGGCAGCCGGCGAGGCCCAGTTCAACGCGCTTGCTGACTCGGCCCTGGGCGCAGGCGCCTGGATTTCATATAAGCACGTATGGGCCACAGGACCCGGCGCAGGCTCGACGAAGACAAAGCCTTCGACACCCGCAGCTCCAGAGCGGATGGGCAGACAGCGCAGCCGGCCCCGAGGAGACGAAGGCAATGCTCGCCGAAGGCAAGCTCCAGGCCTGGTTCAGGCAGATGCAAAAAGGACAGGAGAAGCACGCCCTGGGCTTTGCCACCGTCTACGACACCCTGCTCCCGGACATCTTCGATTGGGGCGGGCTGGGTGACGACCTGGCCGCCGCCAGTGCCGCGCTGCTGGCAGACCCGGCCTTTTTCCTGGTCCTCTACTGCGTCCTGGGCCTGCGCCCTCAACTGTGCGATCCGGGGGGCGCCCCGGCCAACCTCTGCGAGCACTGCCGCAAGCTGGTCAGCCACGACGGTTACCTTGTCGACCTTGACCTGGGGGTCGACCCGACCAACTACGTCTGCGCGGCAACCTGGGCGTGCCTCGCTCACATGGCCGGCCCTCAACCCACGTGCCAGGACGCCCACTTCGTCACTGAGCGCCAGCTCGCCGAAGAGCCGCGAGCTACGCGCCGGAACAAATGGCAATCGCGGCAGGAGAGCAGTCCCCGCCAACGCGCCCCGCAGGCCGCTGGTCGCCTGGAGTAGCACCGCGTGCTCCTGCCCCAGGCGCGGCGCCCCGCCCGACGCCAGCTACCTCGCCGCCCTGCTGCGGGCCCACGACCGCCAGCCCGGACCGCTCAGGCAGTCCCTCCAAAGACCTGACGGACAACCGCTGCTCAGCGCCTGGGCGAGGAGCTCCCTGGCCATGGTGCTCATCATGGTCCGCGAGCCGAGGCCCCTCATGGCCCAAAATGCCACGCCTGGCCCGATCGGCGACGTGCTGGAGACTGTTCGTGGCATATGCGTCCCGCGCAACCCTGCCCGGCTGCGGGTGCGGGGCTGCTTCGGAGCGGCGCGCGGCATCGCCGACAAGGACTTCCGCGGGCTTCACGCGCGGCTGGGGGCGCTGATCAAGCAGGTGTCCAGGCTCACTGCGGTCGCGCACCACCGCCCTGACGTGGAGGGCATGGGGTGCCCAGCTACCTGCGCGGAGATGCAGCGGGCCCCGTTCCGAACGTCCGCTCCGCTCGCAGTGCTCGAGACTCTGATGCCGCCCGCCAACCTGACCGCACTGGCGGGCCACGACGGCGCCATCTGCGCCCTCCCCGTGGAACTCGCAGGAGACGAGACAAGTCTCCTGCCAAAGAGACAAACGCACCAGCTCTGGTATCTCGGGGGGAGAATGTCCAGTGGTGGACAGGACGCGCACTCAGCTCGCCCGGCCGATCCCCCACCCGGCGTTGCCCTGAACCCAACTGTCCTCAGGAAAGACGACACTCGGTTCCACCCTGGCAAGGGCGTAGCGCTAGTCTGGTGCGACAAGAAGGGGTGCGGAAATAGGGCCATTTCAAGCCAGCGACGGGGCCTGGGCGAACCGCGACCAGAGACTCACCCTGGCCAGCGGCAGACTGGCCGCATATCGGGCCGGCAAGGACTGCCGCTGGTACTGCGCCAAGTGCTTCAAGGAAGACCTGGCCGGCGAGGGTTCGCCGTCCCCGACGACGCGGTCCCGATCGGCCGTGTCCTTCGCGCGCTGGACGAAGCCCGCCGGCCGACCGAAAGCGACCGCGCTAAGAGGCCGCTCCAAGCCCACCGCGCTGTCAGCAAGCCCACCGGCGCCGACGCGATCCAGGAGCTGTCGGGGTCCACGTCCCATTCGCAGTTGGCGCGATGATCCCTGCCCGCGCGCCAATGACGACAGGGTTGGGCGGCGAGTGCTGAAAGACGGCTGGTCCGCCAAGTGCGACGGCTGCCCCGCCGCGCGCCCGGTGCTTCGCTGGGAGATTGGTGAAGCCCCTCTCGGTGTGTTCGCGTCCCGCCCCGACGCTGCAACGTCCATGCCCGCGCTGGCTCCAAGAGTTCCAGGCCGAGCGCTGGAACGGCGGCTGGTTCTGCTCGGGGTGCCTGGTGCACTTCTGGGGCGCCCGGCCCACCGACGCGCCCAGCGTCGTTGTACAACTTCCGCAACTTTCGGTGCTCCCCGCGCCATTTTGTTGCCTCTCCGACGCACCGCGCTGGGCCGCCCATTGGGTTGCCTAGCGTCGTTACCCGGCTTCTGCACCTCTCGGCGCTCCCCGCCGCCGCCCCCTCGCGACGTGCCTCCCGTGTGGGGAGCGTATCGCTCTCTCCCTGCCCCCTGCGCCATTTCGGCGCTTCTCTGCTGCGCCGCGCTGTGCCGCCCTCTGGGCCGCCCAGCGTCGTTACCCAGCTCATCCACCTTTAGGTGCCCCCCGCCGCCGCCCTTCGCGACGTGCCTCCCGTGTGGGGCGCGCGTCGCTCACTCGTTGTCCCCTGCGCCACTTCGGTGCTTCTCCGTCGCACCGCGCTGGACCGCCCAATGGGTCGCCCTGCGTTGCTACCCGGCTTCCGCACCCTTCGGTGCTCCCCTCCGCGGCGGCCGCGCGCCGCCTCCTCCCGTTGCGATGCTGGTCCGCCCCGTTGCCTGCGGGCGCCCGGGACGCTTCGCCCGCCGCCCTGTCCCTCCCCTCTCTCTGCCAGCCATCTGGCTGCGTTGCCACTTCCAGCTGCCCCGCGTTTCCTCCCCCGCGTTGCTGTTCCGCCCCGCCGCCTGCGGGCGCCGCCCGCTGCCTCCCGCCCCACCTCTCCCCGCCCCCCCGGCCATCTGGCCTCGGGCGGTCACGCAGCAGTATCCCTGTCACTGCCAGCCATCTGGCCGCAGCTCCCGCCTCCGCACGGCTCAGGGCTATGCCTTCTCCTCGGTGCGCCGCGGAACGTCGTTCGCGGTGTCCCTCTGTGCCCCCCAGCAGCCCCAGCCGCTGGCTGCCGCTCCCCGCCACCCTTGCCACCGTGGTTCGCCACGGCTGCCTACCGCGCTCTGGCCCTGCGCGCCTGGCTGCTGCTGCTGCCCCCCTGGCAGCTCATCGTCGAACTCTTCGTCGTCTGAGCGTCCCTTGTTCCTCTCGGCCGCTCCCCCCCCCCCCCCTCCTTGCTCGCCGACCAATTCGCTAGTTAGTGCCCCTATCTAGCTTTTCGCTGGAGCGGAGTTCGCCGCCTCGCCGCTGACGAAACAAGCTTTTTTCCTCTCCTAAAGATTCAGGGGCACCTCGGAGTGGGAGGGGAGCCCGAGGGTCGCTCAGGCGGACTCCCAAATCCCATGTCGGTGCGCCCAGGTGGGGCCCGGCATGACGTGGACCTGAGCAGGGCTCAAGCTAAGCAGGGTTCTTCTTTTTCGCTTTGTTTTCGTCTTCCTTCGTTCTGTCTTCGTTTTGCCTGTGCTGCGAATCGACATCCAAACGAAAACGGTCCACGAAATCGCCAAAATACTGTTTAGCTCGAGCCTTGATGTTGACCTAAGCTAGGCTCCAGTCCAAGCTCTCCCGAAAATGAACGCCCTGTCTGGATGGTTGGGGTCGTCCGATCCTGTGCCACGAGGGAAGGTCCAGAGAGAACCGAGAGACCGACAAAGGCGCAAAACGCCTCAGGACCCCCGTTCGGCCCGTTTCCCCTCGGAGCCAGAGGCCCCCAGTCCCTGCCTGCAGAGGCTTCTGGAGGTCCCCAGAAGTCTTTTGGAGGACCAAAAACGCTTCGGTTCCCAAGTATGCGATGTCCGGATTTTCCCGATACGGGGTCCCAGGAATCCCGTCGTCCTCCCCAGGGCCTGTTTTGCATCCCGACTCGATTTTTGCCGACGACCCCTGGGGCAGGGCGAAGCCACCTGGAGGCCAAACACGGTCAAACGCCTTTGTGCTGCGATGTGTTCCCGACGCGCGTAATGTCTGGATTCTGCGTGGCGGCCCACTCCTTGCCGACTTCGGCCTCGCATCCGTCGCGCCTGCAGACGACCTTTGCGCCCTTCCTGGTCGCCTCGAGCAGGCGCATGCTGCGCTCGAGGAGCGGACGGCATTCGGGGCGCAGCGCCAGGTGCACCTTGGAGGAGTGGCTTTCTCCTCCTCCTCCTCCTCCTTCTCCTCCTCGTCCACCTCCTCCTCCCTCTCCTCCTCCTCCTCCTCCTCCTCCTCCTCCTCTTGCGCTCCTCCTTCTCCCTCTCCTCCCTCCTCCCTCCTCCTCCTCCTCCTCCTCCTCCTCCTCCTCCTCCTCCTCCTCCTCCTCCTCCTGCTCCTCCTCCTCGTCGAAACATTTTTTCGGGGGGGACCTCGTCAACCAAGATAGGGGCAGGTGGACGCCAGCTGCGGTCGGGAACTCTTGCTCAGCAAGTCGCCGCGGCGGCCCTGGCGACACGCTGTGCCATGCGAGCGGGCGGCGTGTCGCTCCGCTCCTCGGGGCGGGAGGCGCGGGAGGCTCGTGACGTGGGACACGGCTATCGGGAGGACGCGAGACTCGGGCTCGGGGGACTCGGGCTGGCCCGACGGGGCCATCCATGAACATGACGAGACCCCATCTGGAATCTGACGCGGGCTCCCGCGGCAGACGTCCCACGAACACCGGACCGTCCAGGTCCAGGCCGCGCTCGTCGAACAGCGTCGGCAGGCCTGAGAGTTCTGGCGTGCTCGAGCCTCGCGCTTCCCCGGGGGCCAGCGTGCCGCGCCGGAGCGCCGTGAGCCTGGGCCAGCGGGCGGCACGCCGTGAGGCAATGCCCCACCGCCTGCGCCCGCGGGAGCCCCCCGGCCAGGCCAGCCCCGGGCCCGCCCTCGCTGTGCAGTCGGGGTCTAGGAGGACGAGTAGGAGGAGGAGGAGGAGGAGGAGGAGCAGGAGGAGAAGGAGGGGGAGGAGGAGGAGGAGGAGGAGGAGGAGGAGGAGGAGGAGGAGGAGGAGGAGGCGGAGGAGGGGGAAGAGGAAGAGGAAGAGGAGGAGGAGGAGGAGGAGGGCCAGAGTAGCACCCCTCAAGAGCATGGAGTCCTCCGTCTGCCCGAGCGAACAAGACAACCCAGGGTGCCCTCCCCAGGATGCGCAAGAGCAGCAAACAAGCACAAGGAATATTAGGGGTCCCTCCCCAAGCCGACCTCGATCTTATGCCTCGGTCCGACTGTGGACACCCTCCTGGCCTGGGCCAGAGTGCACGTCATACATCGATGCTGGGCATCAGGCTGGCCTGGACTGCTGTCCGTACTCGTGGTCGTTCGTTCGTTCGTTCTTCCTCCTCCTCGTCCTCCTCATCCTCCTCCTCGTCGTTTCTATGTCCTCCTCTTCGCCTCCCTGGCACAGAAAGCCGGCGGCCTGGTCAGGATCGATGCAGGTACACAATGTGGGTGCACCGGCGGCGCCCTCCGACCGGGTGCACCTTCCTTTCGCGCGCTTGTCAGAAGTCCAAGAGGAGTCAAGATAACGCGGGTAAAGATGAGGAGGAAAAGGAGCAAGAAGAGGTGGAGGAGAAGCAGCAGGAGGAGGAGGAGGAGGAGGAGGAGGAGGAGGATGATGATGATGATGAGGAGGAGGAGGAGGAGCCGCTGCCCGACTCGGGGGCGTGGGCCCCCCCGCCCAGCCCTCGACACAGGGGCGGGGGGTCACGCAGCGAGCGACAGCCAGGCGCGGCGCCCGCCGCGCCATGGTGGTCGAGGTGCCCGCGACGAAGCTCGACACCTCTGCCGCCGCCAGCGACACCGACGTCATCGGCCACGAGACTCATACGGGCAACTTTCAGAGGAGGCGCTGGCCGAGACCACGTCGCGCGCCGCCTGGAGGCGCCTGGCGCTCGCAGCCAGGACCGGGCACCGCATCACGGCCAGCGATGTGCTGGACGACCTGACGCTCATCGCGTGGACCAGCCACCAGCGGACTGACGACCGCTACATCAAGGAACACGTCGACTCCCGTACCCGGGAGCTCGACCCAGAGGCGCCCCAGCTCGTCTCGTCCAGGATCGACCCGGAGGCGCCCGAGTTCCTCCCGCCCAGGATCGACTTCGACTGCCCCAGGCCGCCCGGCCACTGGGACCGAGCCGAAGAGTCGCAGCCGATCGATGTTTTCACCACCCTGCCAGTGCACATCTGCACAGCATCATTTCTGCCGATGCGCCGTCGAGGCGCCTGGCTCCTTGGTGCGCAGCCCCCGCAGCCCGAGCCACCAACCAGGCAACGCCGCCCGGCGTGGCCCACCCTGCACCTGGAGCGCCTGGCCGATGTGGCCGCCGCGGCCGCTCGGGACGCCGCCGCGCGCCGCCGGCCCAGCCGAGGCGGAGGCCAGGAGCCTGGCCGAGGCCAGGCTCGGCGGCGCCGCCCCCAGCCCGCGCGCGGCACCAGCTAGCAGCCAGCGCCCCTGGCGGCGCCGCGCGGCACCAGCGGCGGCCACCTGCTCGCAGACGGCGGCGGTGGCGGCGGAGACCAAGCGAGGCCGGCAGGCCTGGCTGCCCCCACCTGCTGCGGCACACCGCCCGGCGCTGGCCGAGCCCCGGGGCAGCGCCGACGGCTGCCGGCCGCTGGAGGAGCGGCTCTTGGAGGCGCTCGCGGAGCCGCAGCCCGGCCCTGGCGAGCGCGGGGAGGCGGACGCAGAGGCGGCCGGGCCCTCCGCCAAGGCCGCTGACCAGCGGCCGCCAGACGCCCTCGATACCTTGGGGGCTACGTCCTGGAGTAGACTCGGGCAGAAGCCCTGAAATGAACAAGAAGATGTGACGCCCCCCCTCGGGGTGCCCTGGACCCCCCCAACCAGTTCTTCGGGCAAATTATGTCGCCGGGGACCCCTGCCCTGTCGCCACGGCTGGATCCGCCCCGAAAGTCTGGAACTCAGGAATACCAGGCCGCGGCCCCGCGCCAAGTCCGCTTCGACCTCGGCCACGAGGAGGACTCTGGGCGCGCGCTGGAGGACGAGCTCGACTGGACCATTCGCGTTGACTCCACCAACATGTACAGATCTGGTCTGCTGGACACATTCTTCTCCTTCGGGGCCATCGATTGTATCATCCTCCACACGAGCCACGCCTTCGTCACCTACGGCTGCGCGCGATCAGCCCAGAAGGCCGTGGCGCACATGGACGTCGAGAAACTCTCGGAGTAAGTTTTCGGCGTCCGAATCATCGCCAGGCGCCAGGCGGGGGTCTAGGGCATCTCCGAGGCCGTGGAGGAGGAGGCGGGCGTGGTGGAGGAAGGCGAGGGGGGCACCGTGCGCGTGGAGGAGCACGAGGAGACAAGGGTCCGTCCGGTTCTACCTCGGCCACGACGTCTACGAATCGGAATAGCTCGAGAAGTCCGAGGACCAGGGGGAAGAAGACGGCGAGAGTGACAGCCAAACGGAAGAGCGAGTGGCGTTGCTCGATTTCTTCTCTCGAGAGCTTCAACTCCAACACCAGGAGAGCGAATATATCATGACGGAACACTCGAAACGCATCAAGCACATATAGGCTCTACTCGACCAAGGGCGCATCAGCCCCGAACCAGCGAAGGCCTCGCTCGAAACAGCCGACCATCGCCGGAACAGTAGGGTCGCATCTACCGCGACAAGAGATCGCGCATGCAATCCATGCTGGACGTCTGGGACAGGCTTTCATAGTCGGGCGTAGGATCCAAGTGACCAAACCACCAGCTTGCTCGCCCGCCCTTTCTCCTCTTATCATCCCAATCATCGCTCCCCCCCCTTCCTCTGACCGACCCGCCTGAGATTCACGAATGTCCGATGGCGCCGCGACGGGCCCGAAGGTCACGAATGTCGCCGACAGCTGCCCCGCAGTCATCAGTCATCGCACCTGGGCCAGCAAAATGTTCTTTTGACCCGATCCTGCACTTTGTGCGTTCTGTTGGAGGTAACTGGGGTGAACCGCTAGTACAGTCGGACCTAGGGCAGAAGAACATCGCTCAAGAACATGAGGATCTTCTCCGGCCAAACAGAATAACATTCGCGAGTACCCTCCCCCAGGAGGCACCATCACACCCAACAGTCACGAACAACATTATGGTACACCCCCCGAACCGACCAAGATCTTTTACCTCGGTCCGACTGTAGGGGGGGTGTGGGGACGTGCGAGGGGCAAACGCAAGGACGAGCGACCCTAACTACCGCGACCTCCCCCTACCTCTCGTCGGGGCGCCCTGCGGCTCCACTAGAAGCGGGGCCGCTGCTCGCGCGCTGGTGGGAAGAAGATGAGAGGAGGTGCGCGACGAGGGCTTCGACCATTCGTGATGACACACTCCGCATCTTGAGTCCTGAGCAGGAGGTGGAGGAGGAGGAGGAGAGAAGGATACGACGCTGGCTGGCGGACGCCGCGCTCCAGGACGGGCGCGAAGGCGGGCGCAGCAGAATGAGGAGTCGCACGCGACACCTCAATGCTTGAAAGTCCGCGGCCCCCTGAGGATCTCGGGGGCCACGGCAAGCACATCAAATGGTCAAGGCAGGAAGAAACAACACGGGGCGCACGCAGACAGGCGCGCCTCTCTCGTGCCACGACCTGAGACCAGGAAAAGACAAGAGAATGAACGAGGCGCGCGTAGAGAAGACATCAGCCCAGAGCTCCAGACAGGTTTGCGGCATCACCTTGGACAGCGCTATGCACTATCCTCCAGGCTGTGCCCCCCTGAGAGCAAGGGGAGTCCACCATATCCACTCCCTGGGAGCGGAAGTGTGTGGCGTCACTTGGGACTGCACAGCTCGTGCCATCCTCCGAGCCGTGCCTTCCGCAAAGCGCGGGAAGTTCACCAAAGCCACTCCCTCGAGAAACCAACCCATGGACCAGGTATGTGGCATCACCTGGGACTGCACGGCTCGTGCCATCGCCAGGCTGTGCCGCCCCTCCGTGCGAGGGGAGACCACCGAAGCCACTCCCTAGTTGCTGGGGCTGGTAACCATGACCAAGCGAGTGCAAGATATCATCTGATGCGGCGTCTAATCTACCATTCCGTATCGGCTCAGTAGCCCTGTGATCCGCATCGCCGTCTTCCTCGCTCGTCTTGGGGCGGCAGAGAACATCCAGCAAGCCTTCGGCATGAACTCCCCAGGGATAAACCATGTCACTGAAGAGGTGCCCGTCGCTTCCGGATTCTGCT